GTAGTGTTGTTTTGCTAATGATGGAGTGATTAATATTAAGACTGCATGTGTGTTTTGCTTCAATGTTATATGTCACTATGGATATGGCCTGCTTTCTTTTTTCTTTGTTTCTTTTTTCTTTGTTTGACTTCAATGTTATAGCTGTTGCTCGTGGGTTTCTCATGTATATCTCAATTTTTATTTGGTTATAAAAAGATATGTTAAACAAAAAAAAAAAAAAAAGAGAAAGAAGTAGTAGATATGTGTACAATAGAACTCCTAAAATTTCAAATGGGCCGTAGTATGAAATTTTTTTTTTGTTTTCTCAATTTCTAGCTAATATAACATTATATAAGCTAATTGTGTGGTGACCAATTATATAATATTAGAAGAAATATAAACTAGTGGGTTATTTGAGTAGAAAGTATAGAGAATATTCCAACTTTTGGAGGTTGTCTTTGTCTCTTAGTACTTAGATATTATATTAAATGCAAAGTAAAGGAAAATATATATTGAAAGCACTCAAGCTAGCATATGTTCGTCGATCTCTCGACTTGTAGCTTTCGTAGTCAAGAATATACATGTGTCTAGTTAATCATTTGTCAAATAATTAATCGTAATAATAGACTAATAGGTATAGTATAGTTTGGAAAATCAAATCATTTTAATTTAGTAGTTTTCATTTTTCCAACATAAATTTAGTACTTAGTAGTGTTTATTTTGGTCGATTAGTATTATTGAAAGCTATGAAATATTTTCTTATATAAAAATTTTGTAAATAGTAGTAAACACACTTTCTTTAAGTAGGAAATTTTATAGGGCACATAGAATAGAAAACACGTAGCTAGTTGCATAAAAAATGTTGGCGTTTAACCGTAATGTGCAAACTATCGTTGTTAATGTTTTGCACGTAAAAGATGATTGATTGAGTTACTATCGTTCTTTAACCGTAATGTGCAAACTAACATAATCATATATAATTAAATCAAAATCTTTTTAAATTTCGTGGAAAAAAAAAGACGTTAATCTAATACTAATAATTGAAATCCATGAAACAAATAAACATTTCAGAATAACAAGATGGACCAAATAGAACGAATTAGCAAACAATATAATTTCCCCTTTTGACCAGACAATTTCCTTTTAAAACCAAAATTGTATTCATCTTTTCCAACGAATTTTCCTTTGAAGTTTAATTATTTAGTGTCGAGTTCCTTTTTTACTTTTGGACTTCTAAAGTTGATATCTTATGATCAAGTTGTTTAAAGTTTACCTGGTTCACCTCTGCACGCGCAGCCAATAAAGCACATATATCTTCAATTACACATAAATATTTATGTATGCATAATTCATGCACAGTTATAGAATCTATTAATTGTTAGAGCTGCTGATCTCATTTAATTTAGATTTTGATCACAAAACAACTTCAATTTTTATAGGACTAGAATTGTAATATGAAGCAGCGCATGCATTAGGAAATTTTGGATTTTATTATTAAGAAAACTAATGTAATAATAATTTATGAGTTTGTGATAATTTCAATAAAGTAAATAAAAAAAACTATACCATTTCACTTAAATATGCATGTACTTGGTATGTTAGGCATAAAGATGTAATTTCTAATTATGGAAATCAATCACGCGTCTGTGTCTATATATACTTATACTGACACAACTTACAAGCTGTATATGTATGTATATATATGCAATTATACAACAGAAGAAATATTTTACTTTCTTTTTTGAGGTTAAGGAAAACTGGAAAAGCTTACAAGGCCACTCGAAGATTCTTTTTTTTTTTTTTGTCAGAAGGATTCTGAATTCTGACTCTAGTTTTTGTAAATATATATGTATGTTATCTTACATTAAAATATAAATTATAACAAATGGAGAAGTTTGGTGGGTCGCAATTGGAATGTTAGACACACCAACCTCCGATTCTGCCTTTTTCGGTGTGGCCACGTAATCTCAATTGAACGTATTTAACCTTTAATCTACAGTAAAACCTCTATAAATTAATAATGTTGGGATCATGATATTTTATTAATTTATAGTGATATTAATTTATGCTATAAATTAATAATATTAATTTATAGCGTAAATTAATATTTATTAATTTATAGAACGTTTTGTTTCAATTGTGATTTTTTTTTTAAAAAAAATACGAGCTAAAGCAATGTAATCTAAATAAAATCAATGTTTTGAATGTTATAAATTTTATAGTTTTAGCCTTAAACACTTAATATTTCAAAAAGAAAATAATTTATTTTGACAATAATAACAACGATTATAGAATTCACATATACAAACGATATACATAAATTAAAATTCACAAATAGTGACATCCATTGTTGTATTTTAAAAATCTATACAACTATTAAAACAAAAATTATGCATATTCAAAATTTAAAAACTTACAAAAACTGTTGGCTATTTTTATGAAAAGACTAAAACTATTATATATATATAATATATATGTAAATTTACATGATTATTAATTTATGATATTATTTGGACTATATTTTCACATAGGGTTTCAAAAAACTTATTATCTTATTATCTTATCGAATTTGGTTAATTTTTACATTGGCCCGACGCGGGACTGACCAAATTTATTAATTTATCGTGTTTATTAATTTATCGAGTAACGGAAATCTAGAGTAACGGAAATCTAGAGTAAATAGCTTGATACATCAGAAGTGTGCTTGTTGTTAAAGAAAAAGTAAAGTATATCAGTGATTTATCATCAAAAGCTTACTAAAAAAGAACAATCATGGTAAGTTGGTAAGAACAAAAAAAAAAAAATGCTGGTAAGAAATAAATAAAGAAATGAAATAAAAGAGTGGAAATAATAATAAATAACATAGCCTAGTTTTTTTGGTTAGCTCATCAATTATAAAGATTCTTCTTCTTTTTTTTTTTTCTCAAAAGATTCTTCTTCTCGCTTGTGTTCATTGTCACTCTATATCTATGACTCTATGCCCATCATACTCATACCCTCACATTAGGCCATTCCCAATTACTTGGCGAAACGTATCAAATTTGCCTCCTTAAGTTGTCATTTGTCAATGAGTCTTCCTAAATTATTTTCTGGTCCAATAGTCTAAAGTCTAAACTCTAAAGGCAATCAACAAAAGAAGTATTTTATTGGTAATTTTTGTTTATTGCAGCAAAACTACTTTAAAACAATTTCTTTAAAGTAAACACCCTGTATATATAGTTGCATTGCAGTTGAATTTAGTCTTTAACGGGACCAAAATAAATTAACTTAATAACTCCAATGTGTCTGTCCGCTTAGATTTAAATTTTAATACAAGTTTACTAAACCAACGTTAACTAGCTTCACCTTCATGCATAAAAGTTCAAATTTCTTCTGCTTTTTACAACAACTCTTAAACTCTCTCCACTTTACATGCATGCATATACACTAACATGGTATATATGATGCATGTTTTGTGTTGTGTATTTTTATATTAAAAAATGAGACAATACTTACATAAAAGTGAATTAAGGATGCAAAAAGTGGAAAGAGAGAATAAAGGATGCCTTAGCCGTAAAGCCTTATTGTTAACAGTCACAGTCTTACAATGTCTGTCGCAGTGAAATAAAAAGTGATTCTTCTCATTAATCTCAGCCACTCCTACCACTTCTTCTTCTTCTTTGTTCGTTTTCCTTCACTTTTCACTCCTCACTTTCAGCTTTTGCGCAAGTTTGTCGGCTTCAATTAGTATTCACCACATTTTTAAGACTATTTCTATCATTTCAAATTCTCCTTGTTTATACAATACTTTTTTACTTAAATTTATATAAATTTTCGCTTTAAAATGGGTAATGATACTTCTTATGAAAGGTAAGCTATATGCCTATATAAAGCTATAAAACGATTTTATTTTGAAATTAATATATAAATTAGTAGTACAGTATGTGAAACAGAAAAGGTACTTTTTATAGGAATTTTGTTTTTCCCAATTCCAATAAAAGGAATTGTTTAACAAACCCAACATGCAATGCAAATCAGAACTGAGAAATTCTTTACACCCTGAAGCCCAGTAGACTATTGGGCTTTTCCCATGACAACATTCATAATATTTAAACACATTGGGCCTCTATTTCTCGATTCTTTCTTTCGATATTGATTAAAAAAACATTGACCTCCTAAACCAAAACATATGCATGTGAAGAAAGTTCCTTTTCTCCTGTCTCTGTCTGTATCATTTCTTTTTTCCGGTCATCCAAAAAACGAACAGAGTTTCAAGATTAGAAGAAAAAAAGAACATAGAGCTGCAAACTAATAAAACCTTTCACACAAAGATATTAATTGTGGGAAAAACAGAGATAATTTAATTACCGTTCATTAAGAAGAACAAAAATAGGGAAAAAAAAAAAGTTCTTCGTTGGAACCCAAATTATTCAACTCAAATTTCGCATATACAAATTAATTTACTTGTTTATACAAGTGGCCGACAATATGAGATTTTATTCCACAAGCCTTTTATAAAATCTCATCATTCGAAAATTTAATAGTAAGACGAGTACGTTCTCCATCATTAGATTAAAAAACATATGCCCGAAAAAAATAGATCCAACGGTTGATAATAATAGACTACTATACATTCGGATCTACTAAAATATCTCTCCAAGACCTACCATGAGTAAAGTAAACGCATCAAGTCAAAGTTTTTGATGATTAGAGTCTTTCTTTATTTCAAAAGTATTTATTACTTCCCAAGTAGATTAGTGTTGTCTACATTACGTCATCATTGTGACGTAATCTCGTAACTGCTTCATGTCGTCGTTGTCATCCCAAACACATCATCATATGACGCAACGTTGGTATCTCCGCGGTATTTTACTCTTTTGCCCCTGGTCCTTTTTTCAACAATTACAAAAATTTGATACTATTTTGACATTTGATTCAACCAAAAACATCACTTATAAAGTTTCGAAATTAAATATCCTAATTCCTAACTAACTTCGTTTTTGTGGCTTAAATTGTAACTAGGAAACTAAAGGACTAAAGAGTAAAAGAGGTGGGGACAGGGTGTTATAGTCTTTTTCTAAGAAGTTTCGTGATGACTAATTTTCCTCCTTTAAAAGAAAGTCATCAGACGATGAGACGAATAAGAATATTTGCCATCTTCGCTCTCCAAAATCATTCACTTTCTCAATGTATCCTAAACAATTTAATTTATACAATTACTCCATAGAGACCATGAACAAGGAAGAGAATGTGGAGAGCAAGGAGACGATCAGGGTCGATAAGAGAGTAAGAGAAGACGAAGAGGAAGAAGAAGAGAAGAAGATTGATACGTTCTTTAAGCTTATCAAACACTATCAAGAAGCACGAAAACGTAGACGAGAAGAGTTAGCTGAAAATTCCGGCGGCGTGAGGAAGAAATCTAGCGGCGGAGAAAGATCCGGTATAGTAGTTCCGGCGTTTCAGCCGGAGGATTTCTCTCAGTGTCGTACGGATTTGAAGCCGCCATTGATGATTGTTTCGGATCACAAGGAAGAAGACACAAAGGTTAAAGAAGAAGAAGAAACAGAAGACAAGGCTTTAGATCTTAATCTTGCATTGTAGTAGATTTGTAGTAAATTGATCTATTTTTCATGTTTCACTTATTAGCACTTGTTGTGATTAATAAATCTTTCATTTAACTCAGACTTGTGTCCGATCAACCTCAAAGAATCATGAAGGAAAACATCTTGTGATGAACTCGGAAAAACCGTAATTCTTTAGAGCAGCATCAATAAAATTTAACATTCCGTTAGAATCTAGTAATGCATTTTGTTTAATTATTTGTGTTTTGTATAATTATATATGTTTAAGAAGATCATTACTTTAAAGCTTTTTACTGACCGGATTTGATATCTAGTCAAATATAAAGATTTTAACAAATATACGCAACTAGTTGCATAAACAAATACAGTATGAATTAGACAACTAATGATTCAAAAGTCAACTGGTTGACCTCTCCTTGTGATTTCCAAATCCAAAAGAAAGTCAACTTCTTTGCAAAAACCAGAAAAATGGGGACGACTCTGGGAAAGCCACTTGCCGGTTTTTTCCACAAAGAAGAACTGAGGATAGTGTTCTTCGGTCTGGACGCTACCGGAAAATCATCAATACTGCACAAACTCAAAACCGGAGAAACCCTTGCCACAACCATGCCTACTGTTGGTAAGTCTCATTATCACATTTTTGCTTTCTGATCTTAAATCGGGTCTTCTCTATGAATTCCTTAAAAACGGATCATTGTTTCTAGGATTGAATGTGGAAAGTGTAAGATACAAGGATTCAATCTTGAGCTTTTGGGAAATGGGCGGCCAACAGTGTTACAAGGTAGGAGAAAGTTGTTAATTTTAGAAACAGTAAGATCATACCTGATTATGGGTAATTCAAAACACATTTCAGTGGTTTCCAATATCGAAACATTACTTCCAAGATATAGCGGGGCTTGTGCTTGTAGTCGATAGCACGGACAGAGATCAAATAGAAGAGGCAAAAGATTTTCTTAACGTGGTGATTGATGAGGTAACAAACAAACCTGACTTTAAAACATTGAGCAAGTCACATAATCTAATGTTTGATGCCGTGAATAACAGATACAAGGGAGTGTACCGGACAATGTGGCTGTTCTTGTATATGGAAACAAGCATGAAGTTCCTGGTGCTATGTCTGCTTCTGAGATCAGTAACAAGCTCGATCTCACTTCTCTTCGTCAAAAAAACTGGCAGAGAAACTGGTAAGAAGATAAGAAAAACCTTTCAAGACTCTAATTTTGCGATTAGGATTGATTCTTCTGACGATCTGTTTTTTTATTTTCGCTTGCTAGGCATGTCCAGAGCTCATGTGCATTCTCTGGTGATGGTTTACATGAAGGACTCGACTGGCTATTGAACAATGCTGAAAGAATGTAAGAATGTGTCCTGATTTTTATCGCGGAATCTCTGTACCGAAAATAGCCATCTTCTGTATCAAGTTATTCACCTCATCATGCTTATTTGCTAGCTCCATCAACAACTTGATCCTTTTAAATGAGACATTGCTCGGTCTATGACCTTTCTCAACCATCTCAAGCAAACATTTCTCAGCTTCTTCGACTTTAGCCAAATCACAAAGCAAATCCAAAAGCACATCTGAAACCAAACTATATGAACCAAAACCTTTTACCACCATATCTTCCCACAACCGCATCGCCATATCCACTTTCTCGTGTCTCTTAAACATCTTAATCAAGAACATACAGGATTGGGTATTCGGCAAACACCCGTTCCCCAACATTCTCTCATACAGCTCCCAAGACCTTCCCAAATCATTTGCCAACGATAAAACACGGAAAAACAGATTATAAGTAGTCGCATTCGGAGACAAACCCTTCTTCACCATCTCATCCACCAACTTATCCGCATCCCCGAGCCTCCTCGCTATGCAATAATTCCTAATAGCAGCATTATAAGCCGCAACATCAGGATAACATCCATACTCCTTCATTTCCTTTAAAACCTCTCTAGCTTTATCAGGCTGACCGATCAACCCCAAACCGCCTATAATAGTTGTGTAAGTTATAACATCCGGAGTTTCATCCTCCTCACGCATCTTATCTATCAACTTATAAGCTTTCTCAATCTCTCTATCCTTGCAATACACATCAATCAAAGAGTTATACGTAACCACATCGGGTTTTAGCCCCTTTCCCTTCATTTCCTCAAAGAAAGCTTCCGCTTCTTCCGATGATTTCCAACCAGATAAAAGTATATTAAAAGTCTGCAAATCAGGCTGAAACTGATGCTTCAAGCTATGATACACATTCCTAGCATCAGTCATACTCTTCTCTTGGCAAAGAGTTCTCAAGAGAGCATTGAAACAAGCCGTATCAAAGAAATCAGGAACCAATCTCTTAAACTTCCAGAAAGACTCAACAGTTTGCCTAACGGAACACAACTTAGCAACTCTACCTAACACAACTTGCATCGTCCTTGGAGATATCAAAGATCGATCCTTTCGCTTAGTCTCAATCAAAATCTCCCAAATTTGATCGAACTTTCGATTTCTACCGAGAATATAAAGCATTGTATCAAGAGAAAACGAAGAATGGTAAAACCCTCTTCTAGCACCAGCGTACCTGTAAAACTCTAGGGTTTGAATTGGGTTTCCATGACTAAACCTTACCCTTTTCAAAACCCTATCGATTAAATCCTTTGACAAATGGATTCCACTAGAGCTCAACGATTCCTTCAATTCTCCTTGAAGATTTGATCCATTGATCATCCGGAAAACAGTTTCGGCGTCAACATCTTCTTCTTCTACAGGAACCTTCGCACACGATAGTGCCACGCTGTGAAGAAACGATACAGAGAGACGGAAATTGGAAGCGCACTGAGACGACAAAGGCTTGAGGATCATCATCGTTTGGATACCAAATCGGAGAAGAAACTCAGATATGGCGGCGTATGAAGTCATCAAAATAATTCAATAACCAGAATCGTTCTAAACCTATAATCAGACCGGTATCAAACCGACTAATTTTACTCGGTTCGGTTTGGTGATTTAAACCTTAAGACCCCAGCACCAAGCATCACTCTGATCATTTGATATCAGTGGTTAGTTGCTGAGTCGCAAGCCATGAAAATCAATATTGTATAAACTATAAATCCATAACCAATGTATGTTAGAAATAGGTTTTGGTCTTCTATTGTTACAATTTCTCTTTGATTGATCATGATGACTAGTCCAACACAATTCGAAGTTCCAATGGCCATGATAATTATGTATGGTTTCAAAACTCTATTTATATCTCGGATAAACATTAGAGCTGGATTTAATATTGTCTGATTATGTATAGTTTCTTTGAAAATATAAAAGGTGGGTTCTTCGCTTTACTTAAGCCTCAAATGTTTTTGTGTAAAAATAAAAAGGAATCAGATTCGCGAGTATGATCAAAATCCAGGCACATACATACTTTGGCAAAACACAGTGTATCAGTATATATATATATTAACTTACTGTATTCGATAAATACTAAATAGTAGACACTTAAAATATCCACAAAATAACTGATTTAATTTTATCTGATCCATATTTGAAATGGATCTCTTGCCATCACGCAGACAGCATATATACTAATTTTATGTGTATATCAAAAAATAATTAAATATGAAATCAAGTTGTTTGATTTAGATTAGTTAATTCGATTTTGCGTCCTCCGTTACGTTGTCGTTCTGGTGTTCTTTTTTTGTGTTTTGAGTTCTTTTACTTTTCAAGATAATAAAGATGGTTTTGCCATCATTTTTTTTACTGTATTTTGTTTACGTTAGCTCTCATTACACTATTTTGTTAAACATAGTCGAACGTACTTTGCTTTGTGGAGGGAGGACTTATTTTGAATCTTTATCACGGTTGGAACTCAAGAGAGCTTTCAACGAAATAAGACTAAACGAATTCCTAGCTTCCACAACACCATAATTAGAGTTTTCTCAACCTGGTTTTAACTACTTTAATATTTTGATTCGAATATAGTTTTTTTATCTCCATCGTTGTAGAGTTGAAAAAAACTCGAGCAGATTCAAGAAAATTTCATGTTTCTATAACACATAACTGAAGCACAAAACTAGAAGACATATATGCATACCACAAAACTGAACGAAATAGACACAATAGCTCCACATAAAGCAAAGAAATTGAGCCAAAAACATAGTCGAAACCAGAGTTTCTAGCAAATTCAATTTACCAAGATTCCACTTCTTTCTTTCTGTTCCGTGGGTTCTGAACAAATAATAACAAACAATTTTCCCAAAATGGAAATTGATTATTGAATCTAAGGGAGACTCAGGTTGTGTGTCACAAGCTCATTAGTTTCTCTTCAAAAATACACTTTTTATTTGGTTTCTTGGACTGGAACAGAGCTGCTATTGTTGACCGTATCTGTAGTATTTTCCTCTGACACTTTGAAGAAAGTGTAAGACAATATCAAGTTGTTGATTCCGTCCATTCTTGGATCAGTCTCAAACTCAGGATCAATGTAGAAGAAGACCTGCAAAACCAAGTGATAAAAGGTTTTAATGGACTCTTGATTTTATCTGAGGAAAATATCAAACAGTACCAAGAACAAAAGAGTAGTTACCGGCATGTCGATTTGCTCTCCAGGAAGGAGTCGCTGCTCCTCAAAGCAAAAACATTGTATCTTGTTGAAATAAACTCCTGCCTGAAAAAACCAATATAAGAATTTCAGAATCGATCAATATATGTTCTAAGAGGAGTTGATAGGATCCACTACCAAGGCTAGTATATATACCTTCATGGGAGTGACATTGTATGTCGAGACTCCGGTTATTGGAGCTGAACTTTTGTTTTCAGCAGTGTAAAAAGCGAGTGCACTTTCTCCTGGCTTTACTCTAACCTATAAGAAAGTAACAAAACCAAAAAGACATATCAGTTAAAAAACACACTAACTGGTCACAACACTCTTCTTGAGATATAAAGTCTAAACCTCTCTTTGTGTTGGAGTGAACTTCCATTGCATCCCATCTGCAACATCAGCATTGAACTGCACGACAATCTCCCTGTTTACCAGACAAACATAGTAGAGTATAGTAAGCTAGCAAGTTCACCATAAACACATATAAAGAAGATCTCAGATTACGAATGGTGTTAAAAACAGAGAAATAAACACCTTTCAGTGACGGTACCAGATTCTGAATGCCTAGCAATCTTCTCCTCAACAGTCTGTAGTATAAGACCAAACAAAAAGACTGAGGAAGAGCCACTAAGAAGACTTGAAACCTCAGAGGATAAAAATAGAAAGGAAGAAACAAAAACTATATACCTCTTTGCGTTGAACAGTACCTCCATATCCAGTAGCTTGGCAGAATGTTCTATACAATGGCACAGCAGCGTAAGTCAGCCCCACCATACCAAAGACAACAGCGGTGAGGTAATAGAGCATTTTCTGTGATTTGGTTTCCGTTGGAGATTGCGTAGAATACTGGCGATGGGCACTAACTAACATCGATTTAGCAGTAGCAGAGTGAGAATTCAAGCTCCATGAAGAAGAACTTCCCCAAAATACTCTCTTGCTTCGGAGATAATGCTCATTGCCTTTACAAGCTCCATGAGTGTAATAACGAGAGCATAAACTAGTCCTACATCATCAACATCAGCATTTCTCACAAACTTAATACTACGAAAAGGAAAAGAACTTTCTTTGAGGAATTTTAACAAACAGTTCATGTGCAAGCTTATCAGGTAAAATTCAATTACCTTGGAGACTGAGATGTTCGATGAAGGTTCTCTAAATATGAAGAAATTCGAATTCCTCTACAAGCCTTCGACCACGACATGGCTGCAGAGAGATGATTTCAAATCGATCGACACAGTGAGACACCACACAAAACACTTATCTGCACAAGAAACACGAACCCAGATTACATTACTTGAAAATGCCGATCGATTTCAACGCAATTACGTGGAAAAATTAAACCCATTTTCTCTCTTCCCTAACCTCCGGCGTGATCAATAACCGGAGAAAACAAAATCACCCTAGGCCATGGCCGATCGTAATCGAATCAGAGGCCAAGAACGATGCCATGATTATTGGTTAAAGAATGTAACCTACCAAAGAGGAAGAACGCGAAAGGATAAGAAGAGAATAGAAGACTTACCGGTAAACCGCGGAGTTCTTGTGCCGTCGGCGGGAGAGAGATCAAAGACGTCACTGGAAAACGAAAACAAAAAAGAATTTTGTGGATTAAAAAAAGTCAACAAGTCAAACAACGACTTGTCTTTGTTGTCTGGTAAGAATAAAGATAGTCGGTTCTTTTAAAAAATTTATTCACATGCGTTTAGTCGAATTTTTTAATTGTAAGCCCATATTATGCATATGGCCCAATATTAAGCCCAAATGACAGCATATTAATCCAAAATTACATAACACGGTAAATGAAGTATTGACACTTCATACTTCATTTACCGTGTTATGTAATTTTGGATTAATATGCTGTCATTGAAGATTACAAATATTTTCCATATCTCCAACGTTATTACGAAAATATTTCATTTATTGTGACTGATCTCATATAAGAATCTTCACATAATACACTAATATACATTCCATAAATTTGATCATCTTTTTCACAAGTCTAATCCCGAAACCTTATTACAACATGTCGGCTAAAACTCGCCGTTCGAAGGATCTTGCGGCCACATTCCTCATGGCTATCGTGATCCTCGCATCTCCGATCACAATCAACGCCGAAGTTGACGTTAACTGCACACCTTGTCTCGAAAATCCACCGCCTCCGCCACCTCCTTCTTGTACACCCGCGCCTCCTCCTCCGTCACCACCACCGCCGAAGAAGTCCTACTGCCCACCATCGCCTCTGCCGCCGCCACCACCTCCACCTCCATTTACTTACATATACGCGTATCCGCCGCCGGGAGACTTGTACCACCCTATTGACAATTACTTTGGAGCGGCTGCGGCAGGAGAAAGCTTCTCGGTGGTGAAGCTGGTCGTGTTTGGAGTTATTGTTTTTATGATTCTTTGATTATGATCACAATTTATTGAGTTGTTGTTTTTGAACTCTTGTATGGTTTCTTCGCATTAAAGTTTTTCTTTTGCTTTTAACGGATTGGCGTATGTTTTAGCTGCATGATATATTGTCCGAGATTATAATCGATTGTCGATTAATTTTTCTAGTTAGGATCGGATATGGTTCAATATTCGGATTTTTCCGCTGCAACCATTTATTTATAAAAGCCTTCAAATGAAATCAAGCATACCTAAAAAGCCAATTTTGTATAAAGAGGGTTTTAATTTGTGTAATTATGATCACATAATTAAGGTTTTGTTATGGAGGGTACACATTTGCAGTGGACCAGATAGAGAGTCCTGATCGGACGCGGTTCATGGACCAGATTTTGACTGATCAGAAACTCAACCTTTTCTTTTTTTTCATAAGTCGTTTTTTATGATTGTGATGGAAAAAATATATTATAATTTCTCTTACTGGAATGTTTTCTAGCATTTTCTTTAGAAATTGTAATGATCCACTGATTCACATGTGAAATTTGTAAAATACAAATTAAACGACCAAAACTAAATTTCTTTTTTTTCATCTAAAACTATACATTTCACATGGTATATATTTGTATAACAAAGCCAACAATCATTTTTCTTTTTCAACAAGCAAACAAAAAAAAAGACAATCTAACTTTTAAATGGTATGAATATCTATAAAGTCTTGAAGAACTCAAGACGAGGGACACCTAAACGGAGAGAGTATGTAGCTTTTTTGTAGTCACCCCATGTGAATGAATTATACCGTCTTGGATTTTCAGGCGACACCATTTTTGGCAACGGTGATATTTTCGCCTCTAACGGTGGCGCTGCAAAGTACATTGCCGACATACGTGGCTTCTTTGCTATGTTTGCTAAAACCCTATGCCTCACGCTAGTGAATCTCCCATTCGTCAATGCCTAATTTCATTTATTAATTAATTGATGAAACATGTCTTTACGAAAAAATGAGGTTATTATGATTAAAATACCTGAAGGCAGTCACCGACCAATACGAAGAAGCATGTAGGGTCAGACTGGATTGGGATCCACAAGCCGTCACGTGAGCAAATCTCTAGTCCATCTACGTCGTTGGATCTTAACACCGTCAAGATCTGAGGGTCAGAATGTTCTCCGAAACCTATTTGACCAACGCCTCTTAACGCGTACGGTGCTGGTGGATAGTGATTCAACCGTAGGATCGAATCGCTACGAACGTCTCTGATTAGCTCACTGACTTCACTAGACCTCTGTCCCCATAAATTCTCGATCGTCATATCAATGATCTCACATGCCAAATCTTTAACCGCGCGTATGTAATCATTCGTCGCCGAGCTAACAAAAGAGAAGCAACACGTGGAATTTAATAACACACTCAACAATTGACAGAGAGACAGATATTGTTTTTTTTTTAATAATTTCGAATTATTGTTATTATTTTTACGATAAATATCAATAACAGAAAAAGAAAAGACATGAGACAGAGGAATGTTCGAAAAGTGAGGACCCCATGATTCTTGCTTTTTGTTTACAAGTTATCATTTTAAAAATGACGAACAGGAGTAACACAAGTCAAACCTTGATTCATTGACGTTTCGAATTTTGATTCTTTGACATCTCAAAGTATTTTTGTGTTCATGCATAGTATTCCACTAATTGACCAAGTCTGTTCAATTATTATATTATTTTGTAATGTATGTGTGTTTAATCTGAATTTTCTAAATAATTATAACTACTATTAACATGGAGCCCATGAATGATATTTTAAAGTTCGATTCCCACCAAGAATTTCATAAAATATATCTCTTTAAACGTAACCTATGCCACCAAATTAGGGAAAAAAACTTTAAAATATTTGATTGATCAACCATGTCGCAGTCAAGGTTACAAAAGCATTTTCACATTTTTGATCTTTTAATATTCTTTAGAAAAAAAAAAATTATTGGCATCCTAATTGTAACCACTATGAACCAAGAACAAAATCCAACTATTATATAGATTATTGATTACAACAAACTATCAGGTGAACCGGCATTAAGTTGGTATGATTATAAATTTGTACTAATTTAAAAACAAAAGAGAAAAAACAATATGAACAACAATGACAAATAAAGGAACAAAGACTGATAATAATTAAAAGCCGTGCCTTCTGGTCATTATCCATTATTCGACATTGCATCTCTCTTTCTCTCTACCTCTCTCTTTTTTTTTAGGTATCTCACAAAGTCACATTATCACACACAGTCAACATCAATTTCAGTTGGGTCAACTTTCAATTTGACAATCACATAAATGGATAGAATATTTAAATAAATAAAAAATTGTAGACGCAACAAACGATTGCCATTTCCACATATATATATATGGTTGTTAATTTCTCATGCTTCATTAAGCTTATGTGGTTATATGAATTTGTTAACCAAAACTCATACTATAGATTTGTTGTTTGATATATTATCGTAAGCGTTTATGCATGTTTAATTTATTTATTTTTATCAAAATTTTCTTTATGCGTGTACAAATATTTGACATAAATTTATATACCTTTTATATGACTAGTCGTAATATAGGTTCAATAAACAGCACACAAAAATGTAAAAGAAAAGTTTGATAGCTTTATAAATTAAGTTTTATAATATGTAAAACATGTACGAAAAAAAGAAAGTGAAATATGTATACGTACCTGAACTTGAAAGGATCATCATGAGATATAGTTTCAGATTGATCAGCGACAGCTGTCGGATTTGCGTGGAGAAGAAGATACTCAAGCTCACCCAAATCGCCGTTGAAGCCGATGTTCTTGCATCCGTAACCGAAAGGACTCGCCGGACCGGCTCGTAGCTTATCCGATTCCGGTTTATTAAAGAACTCTTCTCCTTCATGCTCGAATCTCGATATTATCTCCGGTTTAACTCCGTGGTTTATCACCTTGAAAAACCCATTACACTCACAGGCTTTTACGATCTTCTCCGATAGTTTTGACCGATCGTTTAAGGAGAAATCGATCACCGGAAAGCTATATTCCGGTAAGGATTTCGTCTTCTTTCCGGTGATTTGTAACGGTGTTGAAGATGGCAAAACCATAACCTTTTGTTTTACTTTTAAAATTATTATTAGTAGTAAAGAATGAAGCAGGAGGTTTTGAATCTGAAAGAAGAAGAGTGACGATTATATATAGTGTATGGGAAGAGAAGAAAGGTAGATTTTGGATAAAATAAATATTTTTATTTAAAGTCTTTTTCGAATTTAGTTTTAAATTCTACGGTTGACAAATGGGGAAATTTAAAGTAATCGTCTCATCATATAAATCGCGTAAGGTGGGCATGTCATCAATGGGGACGGTCGAGTTCTTTAAAAACAAAAGTATTGCCAAGATGAGTATAGCATGTCTATTAATAATGAAATTATATATACAATGTTTCTCTCCATTATAATGGATTTTAATTTGTACAAAACAAATTATTTTAAGATTATGATATTTGATATATTTTTTCTTAAAAAATTGTATTATACATTTACAACTTTTTTTTTGTCAACATTCTTGCGCAACCTTGTTATTATTAAAATCGGGTAGTTTGAAATTTGGTGATATGAAATTAAGTAGTAGATGTTGATATGTTCAATTCTTAAAATAATTTAAAGATTGAGCACTTATTGCCTAAATCACCGTGTTTGATTAGTCATAAGACTCGCGTATATTTAATATTGCTTTCTTATTAATGAATTAAAGTATACAATAGAAGTTGATCAATTATTGTTGTGATTGAGATTGTTAATAGGAAGAGTCCGATCTTAGATATTAGAATATTGATAAGTTTGGCAAAAAAATAACAACAGTTTATGATTTATTTAAAAAAAAAATCCGAAGAACTAGTTTAGATTTTTCTAAAAAATGTGAGTTTTGTATTTCAGCTTTGAGAAATACTAATGGGTGTCTCTTTTTTTTCAAGCTAGAGAGAATTAACCTATGCACCTAGCCTATCTAAACATGCATCACAATTGATAATTTGTTAATCGTGACCAACAAAATGTAAATTAACATTTTCAGGATTTGTCTTTCGTTTATCTATTTAAATTTATACTAATATTTTTCTGATGAAGAGGCAAAAAGGAAGAAGAAGCAAATGCTAGAAGAAGCGCGTGGAAAAGAGTCACAAGGAAGTGGGAAAGGTGAGGAGGATGGGCATGTGTAAGGCTGATATGTCGGCACGTAGTGGAAATGGTCAACCTTGACGGCTACCATTAGCCGTCCGATTAACTAAGAGACTCTTTTTCATAGCCCATATCCTTTCAACCTCTCAACTCTTTTCTCCACCAATACCTAGTACCTACCCATTTACTGTATTACTTATTATTATATGACCACTTTTTTTAGTTCATTGGTTTTCAAAAATTTGCATTGGAGTTCTCGTTCAGTCGCGTACATTTGAAAACCTGGATACTGATTGTTTCTAAAGACAAACACGTTCTTTAGTAGAAGTTTTTTTACAAACAAAAGTTTAGCAGTCAATTTTTTTTTTTTTTTTTTTAAGTTTATTCAAACAAATATTTAGTTGATAACAATTCAAGGGGACGTTTTTAAAATAACAATGTAATCAGCTGATATAATAAAAAATCAAGTTGTTCTTAGGTACAAAAGTGAACCGCAAACTTTTAATCGGAAAAATATAGAGATTAACCGGATCAAATTGGAAAAAGCCACATTTGGACAACATTTTTTTATTTTATTTTACAATATTCGAACAACAAATTAAATGAGAGATATGGATACTTTCGATTCATTTAAATATTTAAGTTATAAAATATAAGAAGAAGTATGGGAGAAAAGTTGACCAGAGACAGTATGGATCAATGGAACATGTCATCTGACATATTAGCCGACATTATCCCCGTGAATGAAACATACATATCGGTTATATCAAACCTAACTAATAGTATCATTTTAAATTTTGGTGACCATTTGTAAAACAATTCCATATTAATTTATGATTTATACGTCATGTTGAACTTATATACACATATTTTAGATCAATTATGAGTTTAAAGTAGACAGTCGGTCACCCAACTCCAAGACATCCAATCTAAGGTTTTCTATTTTTTTTTCATTCATTTATGATTTATGTTTTTATTTTACTCGTATTCAATTTAAGTATATCAGCATTGTTAGATTATATAGCATAGATACTAATTTC